TTTAACTTCTTATATTCTTATATATAATTATGTAATTTAAATTATTTTGAAAATTTTGAAAATTTGAAATTATTATATAATATAAATATAATATATTATTATAATCTTTTAATCAAAATTTATTTCTTTTTTTTTTCTTAACCTTATACTTTAAATAACTAACTATTATAAAAAATAATTATGACTTTAATCAAAATATAAAAGAAACAAAGTTAGATAATAAACTTTTAGAATTAATATAACAATTGGAAAAAGCTTTTAAATATGAGATAAAGCCTTGAAATTTTTTATTAAATATTACCATTAAAAAGGCTTTTATTTTCATAAACATTATAATGAAACTGTTAAATTTCTATAGGTATATTTTCAATAAACAGCTATACAATTTAATTCAGTAATACAAAGTTTTATAACATTAATAATTCAAAAAAATTCAACAGATCTTTTAAATACTTTGCAAAAAATCAAATTTTATTATAATTTGTCAAACTACAATTAATTTAAATGGATCAACAATCAATAACCTGAAATTACAAGTTAAGGTATTGAATTTATTACATAACTTTATGATAGAAAAATTTTTATTGAGTTACTTTGAAATTTTGCTAATCAAAAACAATAATATACAAGAGAATAGGTTTATATAAAAAGCAATTAATACTATATTAAAAACTAATATATATAATAAATTATGTGAAATATTAAATAACTTTATTAATACAAAAATTAATAAACAAATATTAAATGCTTTACAAAATTTAATAAAAAATTTAATTGCTAATGTATTAGATTTCTCAAAAACAAAGGATACCAAATCAGTATAAAAATTCATTAGAAATAACATAATCAAAATTAAAATATAAGCCACTTTCAAATATTAGTAATAAGAATGTGAAAGAAAATAAAAGAAATCAAAATGTGACAAAAATACCAAATATTCATAAATCAAGATAATGTAAAGATTGTCAAGAATATGATTATTATAGTAAAATTTATCTTGTGAATAGATAAAAGGTATACTATAATAATTAATTGGTAAAAAAAATTTGTATTTTACATAATAAAGAATATTGATTTTATAATTTAATGTTAAACATCTTAAATCTGATAAAGCAGTATTATCTTTAAATAATACTATTTCAGCCGCTACTCAGCCTATAATCTACAAAATTATAAAAAAGATCAATTTAAATGCAAGTCTCATTCTGTTCATTTATTTTTTACTATTTTATTTATTATTTTTATAAACATTATTCTATCATTATTTAACATGATATTTTTTATTTCATATATTTAATTGAGATCACAAATTATTTAACCAGTATTACTAATAAAATCACTAATAACATCAATAAAATAATATCTGTGATGATTTTAATTCCAATTAATATTAGCAAACCTAAAAAATAATATATATAAATATATATATATAATTTTTTAATTTTTTACAAATATTTGAAAAATTTTATTATATTCCAATAGAATAAGATTAGATTTAAAATAATATAAAATTATTAAAAATTTAAAATTAGGTTTATAATTAATTTAGAATAATAATTAAATGTTATATAATACCTATGATGATTACTGCAATAATAAATACCAAGCTTCTAAATTAATATAATATTTTTAAAAATGTATCTGATTATAATAAATCTATATATATATATTAATTTATACCTTTTCTTGTAATAGCATTTTCTTTATCCCAAGCATTTCGAGATTGTTCCAAACTATATTTCTATCACATATTGTCCAAATATGGCATATAATCAAAAACTGGAAAGCCAGAAATAATAAATAATCAAAAATCACTGTAACGATAAGTTTAAATTTTAGTATGATGAATCATATGGACATAATTACAAGATGCTTTTTTTTTTTAATGTATAAACATGCTAAATTTATTTGTCAATAATGATATTAAAATTATAAATGGTTATGACATTGAATTTGCTACAAATAATACAAATGATTAAATGAAATTAATAAAGTACAATAAATAAATAAATAAATAAATATATTATAATAATTTTTTTTCGTTAAGAAGCCCAAGGCATAGCCCTGCGTAATTCATCAATTGAAGCCATTGATGTAGGAGAGCCTGGAATATCACTATATGGAGTACTGGGTTGACTTCTACTTACCATTCCTTGTACTTTCACACTACTAATTTCTACACCAGCTCCAACTCGAAAAGGATCTGATCCATTACCATTTATAGGTATAGTTGAAAGTACAGCAAGACTACGTACTCTCCGAATTGATGGATATTTTGGAGGACTCGAATGACTTGCTACTGAAGCAGATGGGCTAAAATATGTGAAAGGTGTATCTGAAGATTTAATCGATCCGGTCATTGAAGATGACATCGAAATTGTTCCACTTTCTGCTGACACATCTCTAATACGTTCTCTTGGCTCTTCATAACCTTCAAACATCAAATCAAAGTGTTCTATGGAGAGCTTCATAAGTATTCCGACACCACCGCCGGCTGTTTCATCATTTATGCTCAACATACACATGCTAACATCGAGCATTGGGTTTCCACTATGTACCAAATTAGGTGCAAACATCACTGCAAGATTATGTGCATTCATAAAATTTATATCCTTGTGTTTTGAAATTTCATGAAGAAGCGAGCAAACATATTGGAGTAGAATGATCGCTGCAGGCGATAATAACGGAAATACGCTACTACGAATAAACTCTATACGTCCTAAATAATGTTGTTTTCCTCGAATTTGTCTTAATGTGTCATACGTTTGCACGGGAAAAATTGATATTGGCAAGTCATTAAAGAACATTTTCAGAAGAACGGCTGCAATATGTACACCATAATCCGCCAAATTAATTGGATTTCCTATGTATATATACAGATTAGTATATTTTAGATAACCTAATTGATTCAAATTAAATCCTACCTCGGTCATATGCTTCTTTTGCTTGGCGTAACAATATTGAACCAGGTGATCGGCGGAATACCCCAACAACTGTCAAACCTAAAAATTTTAGATAATTAGCAAAATTTACTCTTAATATATAACAGAGATAAAATTATATAATACCTTCTGCTCTTAAATACGAGACACAATCTCTGACTACTCTTGGTAGTCCATTTTCGCCTTCTGATCCCATCAAAACTTCGAGTGGGACTCCAAACATCAAATTCTTATTTTCATCGTAATTAGGTGACGGTGGTAACGTTATTTTAACTTCATATTTCGAATTATATCTAGAAATATAAATTTATTAAAGTACAATTAAAGATTTCGGAATTTCATGAATATATTAATACTTACTCATATACGGCCGGCGGTATGTCGATTTGTGTAAGCGGAATAAAATTAGCTAATTCTGATAAAGTATGAATGTATTTAATTTTTTTCGCAAATTTCGGGCTAAATTTAATTAAAAATTATTTTAAAAAAAAAGTTGAGTAATTGTTTTAAAATCATCAAAATAATTAAATAATTACCTAATAACTGCATTCATAAAGTCAAGTGATATACGTGCCCACATTGTTGGTTGAACTATGTACAAAGATTTAAGATTTTTCTTGTATCTATGAAAAAATAATTAAAATTAAAGGAATTTAACAAAGAAAAAAATAAAATAAAATAAACTAAAGGTAATATTATAATAATATGTACTTTCTGCTCAAGCTTTTATATGCTTTAAACATCCAAGACCAGCCAGGGTTATGTTTTGCTCCACCTATAAAGAGAACGACTGTATAATCACTCTCAACAAAAAGGTCGAGTTTAAGTAAAATTCGTCTATATGGATTGTATTATTATAATTTATCTTTTTTTAATATATTAGTAACTTGTAACAAAAAATTATATATGAAACAATTATACTTACGATAAGATTTTATCATAATCGACTTCTGTGGGATCTGGGAGGTTGCATGCACATAGTATGACCATAGGTTTGCTCTCAAAATCGACGCCTTCATGAGACAAAAGTTAAAAAAAAGAGCCAAAACCTATTAAATATAATATAAATATATGTTTATAACTAGTAATTTTACCAGCTTGATAGATGACTTTGGAGTATACATAATCGGCTAAAGCTTCCTCGTCGGCTGACGTCCTTGAGGCTCGGTGTTCAGGAGAACCTTTAAACCACCTTTTCCACATTTTCATAAGGGACTATGTGCGTAAACTTGTATGGAGGGGTTAAAAAATATTATTTTTAGTAAAATTTATATTTTACACAGAAAAAGAGGGGAAAAACAAATTCGTATCCTGTTCGTGTTTGGATCTGTGATAAATACTGATAAATTACGTAATTTATTCATTGAGCTGATAAAGAATTTCCGAATTAAGATACATAATATGATGATTTTCAAATTGTTAATCATATCATCAAAACTGTTTCGTCTGTCTAATTGTTTTCAACTTCATGTATTGTCCAATTAAATTCCCTCACTGCAAATCAAATGAATCAATTCTAAAAGAACAAATATATTACCAGATATTCACTAGTCTAATGAAAATCAAGCCTTTTCGTTTTTTTTTATAAACAATGGAAAAATTATAAATTATCCGAAGAAAGATGAACTAATAAAATGTCGAATCACGTGCCTATTCATTCGTTAACGTCATATATAATTATAAAACCCACTAAAAGTTTTATTTGCTCGCTGAAAAAAAAAAAGAATTACTAGAAAGAAACTTTCGTAACTTACTCGCCTACGTCGAAAGGACCAAAATTTCTTTTACAAAGATGACAGATAATACTGACATTCAAGTAATCCCGTTCTCAATCCTGCCAGTTGAAACATTTCCAACCGAAATATGGTTATACATTCTTAAAGATTTATTACATTTTCATGGGTAAAAATCGTTGCATTTGATAAATAAATTTTTGAAACCTTTTTTTGAATTGAACTAATTAAGTGAAATCTAGAATTCCCGAAAGTTTTCGTTTGCGAGAAGTTTCAAAAACCTGGAATGAACAAATATTAATTGATTTATGAAAAATTGCGGACGATGATTGAAAACACACAGATAAAGATTGTAAGTAATCTTGATTACAGACGATCAACATGAACTTCTCATTCAGGTATTTTTATTTGATAGGATGTGGAGAGTCATTTTAACGAAGGTTCAACCATTCGACGTAGCATATTCTATACCGAATTGTCCCCATCGATCGACTTTTCTAACAACGCTTTCCAATTTGAACTTGATTATGCTATGATTGTTTCAAACAAGGAAGAGGTTCATGCAAATTTGATATACAATGATAATTTGAACCCGTCCATTCGTTCTTTCAAATCGATCGTCAAGAGGATTGAAAACTTTTCGAATAATGATGATATCCAGAACTTAGGCTGCTCCTTGATTTTACATTCGCATCATAGGAACCTTTCGAGAAACCTTTGTATTAAAATTCGAGCAGCTGAATTTGTAAAGATTGTGGCAATTGAAAATACCGGAAAGAAAGTGGGTTTTACTTATACTTAATTTATATATAATGAGTCATATTGAAAAAAAAAATACTTTTAGAAATGCAGATCATGAAGGTTTTAAATAAACATTCCATTAACCATTAATGTATATATTTAGCTTAGTAAGAATGCACATCTTTCATACTTACCTGAGAAAATCAGGTTCAAGTACAAATTATCATTATGATTGATCACACGATTAACTATGCGTCGGAGTTTCATTTCTACGTATTCTTTCTCAACTCTTTTTTTTTTTTTATATCCTCATTTTGTTAAAAATATTTGGTGTTGAACATTGAAACACGGCAGATTATATAAGGATAATTATGTAACACGGATCATGTGTTCTTGGGTTGACTGCCCGTCATCGTTTGAATCGAATAAAATAAAAAAAATAATAATTAAAACAATTCCCAGTTCACTACCACTTTTCTTATTTTGTTTATCTTGTGTAGCCAAGGATGCAAATTCTACAAACCTCCTTGCGTCTCATCGTGTTAATTTGATGGTTGCATATCCATTTAATAAACACCACTAAACACCACCCAAGGAAAACCCTGACCGCTGTTGTGCTTCCTCATTATTTTCTATACTTGATAGTATCAACTAAACTTTTGTCCTCTTTCTTTGCCGTTGTTGCTCTTTATTTATCTGCTGTTTCTTTCTCGTTTTACCAATCTTTCAATTTTACTCTCCAAAGTTTCACAATTTCACTTTTAACTTCCCCTCATTATTTTGAATTTTTTTATTTTAAAAAACCTTGCTAACTTTTTTTTATTTCAGTAATTCGTCTCTGTTGTGGGTTAGGTGCTTTCCCCCTTGTCAAAAGGGTTAGATACTTTTGGGTGGGATACGGCGACTTCGATATATTCTTAATACTTACTAACGTTGGAATAATTCAGATTATTTAGTTGTCGCCTCTAGGTCGTCGTTGACCTTTTTTGAAACTATTCATTTAGATTCAAAAGAAGAACTTCAAACTCGTTAGAATATTTGAGTTATTTCTTTACTATTTTCTAGATCCCTTAGTTTTTTTTTTCATCCCAAAAGACCCTGATTTACGAATAAAATATAATTTCGTTGGACCAGTAAATGGCAAACGGTGAAAAGAGGATGATTCCAGAAGACAGAATGGAAAGAAAGAAAGTTTCTAAACGACGGCAAACGGGCACAACTGCTAAAGATGATATTGAGGTAATTAGATTTCGATCGTTCGAGTGTTCGTCTGAGGTACAATCATTTGAGCTGATGCATTTTTCAATTTTCTATTTTCGTCATTGGGATCGTTAGTTATTTCAATCACCACCTAGTTCGCCGCTGCTTACCCCAAAGTCGTCGCATTTAACATCATCTTTAGAGGCACCATCTCAATTACAAACACCTTTATCATCTCCTCCATCTTCACGTCCTCCCTCACCTAACCCTGTCGATGTACCTTATCTTACACCTTTGCCAACTTCACGTCCTCCCACGCCAATTTCTATTAAAGAAATAAGTAATACTAATGTCACTATTATAACCATAGTCACAAATGATCATAGCTTAATAGATGATGAATTTATTACTCAGGATTCGATATTTCAACAACAGAATAGAAAGAAAACTTCTCATTTACCATTGAAAGTGGTTAATAGTTCCATACCTCCATGTGCTCGATGTCCTACCGAATTAATATATCACGTCTTCGAAATATTGCGTACCTTACATCAACCATCACTTTTTTCTTGCATTCTAGTAAATCATCAATGGAATGCCATAGGAACAAACGTCCTTTGGAATTCCCCAAAATTCACTCATATGCGTTCACTGGACAAATTCATTAAAACTATAGAGAACTCTCCATCATCATCATCATCATTATCATCATCATCATCATCAAAGTTTTCTCAACAACAATCAACTGTTTTTCATCCCTATGCGACTTATATTCGTACATTGGATTTAACGTATTTAACAGAACATGATCGTAATAATGCATCACTTTCATCTCATCTCCTACGTCTATTACCATTAATTCATACAGAAAACCTTCATACACTTAATTTAAGTTTTGTTAAAGGCATCACTAATGGTTATTTAACTAAATTATTATCACCATTTTTCAATAATGTACGTACATTAAACCTTGCAGGTGGAAGTAGATCTGACACTTGTTTATCATCTATTATACCAAATTGTGGTAAAGTACAGAACCTTTCACTTGCATGGAATACTTCATTATCTGATGCGTCAATTAACAAAATTGCTACGATATGTGGAGATAGATTACGTACTCTTGATTTAACAAATTGTGAGAAAGTAAGTGATAGATCGATGCATTCAATTTCACGATATTGTTTAAAGTTAAGAGAATTAAGAGTAAGTTATTGTCGTGGTGTGAGTGAGGAAGGTGTAAGAGATGTTATTGAAGCATGTGAAGGTCTTAAATTATTAGATCTAGTTGGTTGTTTAGGTGTTGATAAATGTTTTTTATTAAAATGTAATGATGAATTCGGTTTAGCAAAAAGAGAATTAAAAGTTATTTGGAGAAGGTTTACCGATGTTAATAATACTTGGACCGATGAGAATTAAAAACATAGATTTAAAGTTTATTTCTTCAAGCGAATTTCAATAGATTCGATTAAATATTTGGAGCGAATACTCATTTCTGTGAAAGAAATGGGAGGATTACAAGGACTATCAACTAAAAAAAAAGGGTTAGAAGGCAGGCATGAAAATTTTTTAGCGTAGAGAATTATTTTTATACTTCACAACAAAACAAACATCAAATGTACATTTTTTTGGTTTCATTTTTTTTTTTTTTATTTTTTTTTTTTTTTTAGAGATAAAATTCATCCACTTTTATTCAATTATGCAATGGGAAAAAAAAAAAAAAAAAAAAAGAAGATTATATTAAAGAGAATATCATATTTTGTTATATATAATTTTTAAAAAAAAAAATTAAATTTTTTTTTTTCCTTTTTTTTTTAAAAAAAAAAATAAAATAAAACAATAAAATTAATAATCCTTATCATTTAAACCAATAAATCAAGATTATTATAAATTTATAAATAGGATTAATGTTTAAAATTAATAAATATGTATTTTTAATATTTTAAATAAATAAATTCAATTTATATAATATTATTATAAATAAATAATTTTTTAAAATAAAATTCAAAAATTTAAATGCTTTATAAATAAATAAAAAAAATTAAATACAATTATTATAAATAAAAAAGATTAATTAGTAATAATTAAAAGAATTAGTAAAATTTAGTATTGTTTTTATCAGTGATGATAAATGACTTAAATGACATCAAATGACTTGTATCACAAATCACATATCATTTGGATCATTCTGAAATCAAATAATAAATGACATAGTCATTTAGTTCATCAATCATTTTTCATATATAAAATTAACCGGTAGAATATTAAATTCTTTTGCGATACAATTACATCTCCTTTCTTATCCTTATAAAAACATTATTTCACAATATCTATTTAAATTTATTCACAACAAATTGAACAACTTATCTTTAGCTTGTGTTGCTAACTTTAATAAAACTGTTTCATTTATATAACTTATAAATAAAATTGAATAAAAGAGAATATTTTATTATGTATAGTTTTATTCAATAAAATGAAATAAGATATAATATATTTGTATAAATTTGACTAGTGATCTAATTAAAATCTAAATTAATTAATATATTTATAAAATAGATGATTCTAATTTATTATTAAAAATATTTTTAAGGTTCCATTTGGTAAATAAATCTTCAGCAGGATGAATAGTATAATCTACAGCTATAAATTCTAAAGATTCTTTCCTATTCAAATAATATTCCTTTCCTATCATACTAATCCAATTTTAAATTATATATGCCTATTATTCTATTAAACTAATTATATTAGATTTTTTATTTTCTAATTTCAGATTTTCTGTCATTATAGTTTCTTTGTCATCACTAAATATCATAATATCAGCCTATTAAATAAATAATTCAATTTAATATTAAAATTCTAATTAGAAATTTAACTAAATATATATTATTTTAAAATCATATAATACTTTATTATCACTATTTTTACTATCAGAAGTTTGATCATGAATAAGAATTACTATATGATTTCATTTATAATGATTTTCAAAATTTTTCAATTTCTAATTATTTTCTTTATATAATATATCACTTCTCAATTAACTCATCTAAATACTTTATTACTTTTTAATCAAATTAAAAATATGAAATATAAGTAAATACAAAAAATAATCATTACTTTTGAGTTTTTAATATTAATATTAAAAATAAATAAAATTTACTTATATAAAGGTGATTTTGATATTTTAAGTATAAAAATCCTATAATAAACTAAAGCTTCTTTATTAAGGTTGAATTAACACAAATTCTATATAAATGAAGAGTAAAATGCAATAATTCAGATGTTTGTCTTTTGTCAAATCCTAATAATCTATTATATTTTTATTAAGTTAATTAAATATTTAAATATCAAAAGGATATATTTCTCATTAATATAAGAGGAATTTACATAAAATATGTTATGATGATATATCAAATTAAATATAAAAATAATAACTAATCTATTAACCAAAATGAATATATAAAAGATTAGATATATTATTATTAAAAAATATAAGATAATATTATAGATGAAAAATTAATGATTAAAGTAAAAAGGATTGCTTCCATTGTTTTCATCAATGTTCAAATCAGATAATCATTTATCAAAAAAATTATTATCTTAATGATCTAAAAATACTTCAATTATCTATCTAAAAGTAAAAACTACTTCATATAATTAAATCATATTTTTTATACTATATAAAATATTAGAATCATATTTTAAAGTTCATATAAATTATTTCAAAAATTTTGATCATTAATAATAGTAATTATATTAAAAGAAAGAAATTTTTTATCTGTAAAATTTGATATATATCTTTGTTTTATATAATTATTTCTAAATATAAAAGAACCTTTAAGATATTCAAATATAAATTTTTAAACTAATATTTAAAGAAATTTAAATTTAACATAAAATATATAAGATATAGATATATAATTTTAAGTAAATAAATAGCAAATTTTAAGTATTGCTTTTGTTTTCAAAATACTATAAAAGTAAAAGTAGTAACTATTCTATCACATTTTACTTAAAGTAATTAAAACTACTATTTTTTATACATTATCTTTTATTTATTTCTTAATAGTTCTGTAAAATAAGTTAATGAATGAAAATAACTATTAATTTTAACAGTTTTTGTTGAAATGTATTAATAAGTATTTGACTTCTTAAAAATTTCTTCTATTACTAGATTTAACTGATAGGCCATATATAATAAGAAAATCATATTAAAAAATTTTATTTACATAATCTTCTGATGAAAATAGATTTTTTAAAATAATAAACTAAGGAAATGAGATTTGTTATTAAGTCTAGAATGATTTTAACTAAAAAAATTCATATTAATATTTACTTTATATAGGATTTTATATAATTATAAAAGTCAATCAGCATCAATTCAATTATTGAGTGAGCGGACACTTCATTGTATATACAATCAAACCTCTATATACCAATGCTGCTATTTTAGAAAAAAAGTATCAATATATCAAATTATCAATGTATAAAAAAATTTTATATACCAATATTAATATTAAATGTTTGATCAGTATCAGTATCCAAAATTTTTTATTATTTCAACTGTAAACTTAAATTTTTTTAATAAAGCATTATAAATTTTCATAAATTTACTATTAAAATTATTTATATAATTATTATTAGTAATGTTTGATTATTAAAAATATTATTGTGTATTACAAAATTTGGATAAAACTATCTAATGTAATTTGTTTTGAATTATCAATATATGATTTTAATACCCGATGTCTCAATTTTTGTAATAAATTTAATTCATTTGAATTAATAAAAATATCTAATAAATTTTCAAAAAATATAACAAAATCATCTAAATGATTCAAAGCTTCTTTTTTGAGATTACTACTAAAGGCTCATCATTTTATTCTACCCTAGATTCATCATTATTTAGTTTTATTACCATAGATATAATTTCATCATCTATCAATCCTTCATTAATTTTTAAATAATCGTCAAGATAAAGAAATTCTTCAATATCCATAAGATCATCAAATAGAAGTTGATTAATAAGATTTTGTAATTCCATTTCATTATGAAATACCTGATTGTCATCATCTTCAATTTTATCAATTTCATCCATTTCGTTACATAGAAGAATTCCTGTATGTTTCCAACAATTATTAATTGTTTTTTGACTAACAGAATTTCAAGCATTATTGCTAAAATTAATAGTATCATTAATATTTAAAGAAATTGTTTTTTTATTTAATTCTTATAAAATTTCATATGTTTCAATCCTGTTTTTAATAAGTAACTTTTGATATTGCATCTAAATTGATAAAAAATTATATTATAAATTAATATAAAAAATATATATTAATGATAAAAAAAATAAATTACTAACTTTAAAAAAATTGATAATTCTAGCATTACAAGGTTGCAAGTGAGAAGTTGTATTAGATGGTAAATAGAGATGTTAAGGTCTGTAGTCAGACCGGTCTGATTCTGGTTTGATCATAAAACTGGTTTTAGTTCAATTTGAAGATCAAATCGAACTGAAACTGAACTGAGTTGAACTGGTATTTAGATCAGTTTAAATGATCAATCTATATAAATACTGTATCACGTAAATTGTAAGATGCATTGATCATTTTAACTAAAATAATTTTCATTTTGCATTATTGTTTATATTGTACAATGTCTGACAGCGTAATTTCAAATGAAAATGATGACAATTTCTCAGATATTTCTTTAACTTCTTTAGCAATTGAAGAAGATTCTAATATAACAACTCGCAAGTCAGATGTATGAAAATTTTTTTTTTAAAGCCCAAGATAAAGAAACTGGACTAACAATAGGTTATAAATGCATATTATATGCTAAAATTTATTCGCCTGGCAATCCAATAACCACCCTTCGAAAACATTTAACTAAAAAACATTCATTTCATTATAAAAAAACTGAAAATTATCAAATTACTTTGAATGAAATGCGCTTCAAACCCTATTCTTTATCACAATCCAACTTTATCACAAATTCATTAATTGATTTTATTGCAACTGATTTACAACCTTTTTTTATTGTTGAAAATACTGAATTCAAATTGTTTGTTAATAAGTTGAATTTTTAATTTATTTTACCATGTAGACAAACTTTAAAAAAAAAATTTGTAAAAAATTATGATACAAAAAAAAATAATTTAATAGGTGAAATTTCACAAATTAATTCAAAAATATCTCTCACAAAATATCAGATTCAAAAGATTGTTATCTTAGAATAACAATTCATTATATTAATAATAATTAGGAATTAAAGAATTTTTTGCTTGATATAATTTCTATAAATAGTTCTTATAGAGCTGAATTAATTACAAGCAAACTTTCACAACTTTTTGAAGAATTCAATATTAGTCAGAATATTTTTGTTATGACAACAGATAATGGAAGCAATATGATAGCATGTGA